AGGCAATGCCTACATTTGCGTTTTTACAGACTCTAGCGTAAGCGCTGCCCTGGTCCAGAGCTGTCTAGCACATGAGAAATAAAAAACTATGATATGTGCTAATAAGAGTGTGGGAGAGGTTGCCGAAGCCTGCTTCACTCTGATCTGCAGCTCAGTCAAAAATCATTCAACGCATACCACTTACGGAAATTAAAACAAAGGCCCTAGCTTCGAGCCCGCTGACGCGAATTGCCCGTGCTTTCGGGAAGACTTTGAAGAAGACGGTTGATGAATTTTTGTTGCAAGCACCCCCATCCCTCATAGCAAACATGTTTCGTCGGCATCTTCTATGAGAAGTCTCTTGCTGAACAGCAAATCACAACTCGCTAAAGTTAATTTTCGATCTGCTGATGTAGACGATGTAGACGCATTTAAGCCGATTTTGGAATTGCATAGCAGTCATCGTCTTTTTCAGAGTACATGGAATCTCTTCACTACAGATTAAAGACCTTCTGAAGTACCGCTGTGCTGAGGTGCCAGTTGGTTCCGATGACCTATTCTGACTTGCGTCGTGTGCGTTTGGGACGTTAGTGTCTTCCTTAACCGATGCATTCCAACGCTCGAAAAGGTGGTTCAGTCCCGTTTCGAGAGGCCTCAATTAACCAGCATAGCCAAACCACGCGGAAAGCGTGGTACCATACAGATAACCACCTCCCTCGACTGCCACCTGACATCCGTCTTGATGAATCAGCCCATTCAATCGACACCAAAACTACTATTTCATGCATCCAGCCTTTTCCCACCTGGTTTCCCCATGCACACCTTCGTTCCCTTCGCCTGACTCATGCGCTCGGCCCACTCAAATTCAAACTAACAATTCCACACTAATCAGGAACCTATCTTCGTATCAGGAATAGTACTAATTGGCGAGACCTCCGCGACACGATAGCCTCTTCGGCTCGTCTTGTTGCCCTGTCTTGCCCAAATCGAGCCACTTTATTTGGTTTCTCATACCGTCCTATTCATTTTCCCCACTTCACTCATCCCCACCTTATTCTCTGTATGCCCCAACTTACATCATTTGTCCAGTACAGATTTGCATCTATAGCTCACATACATCCTTTTCTTATTGTGAAAGAGGAAGAATGAATACTTGGTTGGAAGCAATTCGTGATATGGTCTCACCGGGAACCTTTTCTCTTGGTTTAGCATATTCTTGCCCTATTTTGTGAAGTATGGATTGCTGCTCTGATGATGTCTATCAAAATACAGACGAAAGCTCAGCACAGTTCCATCTGGGTCGCAGGATGGTGAGCAGAGGAATTCTTTGCACAATACAACAGTCTTTCTGATGAGATCACACCATGAATTCTCTCAAATCAGCTTTCCCTTTAAAATGGAAAGTCATGCGATAATATATCACTAAAACATTTTTCAAAAGCCAGTTTTTCTTTATACTCTTTTCTTGTGTCTTACGGCGCATTGTCGGGGGGACTTTCATTTGGTAGGAAAGTGCATGAAGAAGAGATTTGTTGATCGATCTCACCAGATGAGGACGGATGAATCCCGTTATACTGCAGCCATTTGGCTTTTATACGACGTTCAGGTTGACGCAGTCCATGAGACCTCCTCCCTCGTTTCGGGTGAAAACGGGATGAGCTTTCGTCCATCAAACGATGGACATCATCAGAGCTGGGTATCATTCCTGTAAAAGTCTCACGTTAACACAAGGTCAAGATGACTATTCGGCCTTATTTTACCTCTTTTATAGACTCAATTAAGAGAAAAAGAAAATTCAAAACCTAGATAGATCGATATAGAGTGGTTTGGCTAATCATCTTTCATACTGGTCCTGCTACTTTTGCTCGAGTTTGTGTGTGTGTGTGTGTATGTGTGCGTGTTAGCGTTTATACGCAATACCTGTCCTAAATCACCAACATAACATCGACCACATGAGCAAACAATCTTGTAGCAGCCGGATCTCGGTAATGGGTCATATTTCTCTCTAAAAGATGGCATAACAAAAGAAAGTGTGATGGTTTCTTGCAGCACTGTTTCTATGTCCCACTTCTTTACTAATCCGCCTATCTTTTTTCAGAGAAGGCATGACGATAAAATGAGGGCTTTAATAGCTAACACGCACACACAAACACACGCACAAATTGAGCAAAAGTAGCTGGACCAGTATAAAAGATAATTAATCAAACCACTCTATATCGATATATCTAGGTTTTTAATTTTATTTCGGCTCAATTGAGTATATATAAGAAGTAAGATAGAGCCGGATAGTGTTCTTGGCCTAGTGTTAACGTGAGACTTTTACACGAATCACACCCAGCTCTGATTATGTCCATCAAATAGGTTATTCGCATTTTCGGTAGCATCCTATCCTGCCTTCACTACTACAATTTTCACCGTGTTTATTTAGATAGTGTTGTGCCCCTTTGAGCGACATGAAGCCTTCACACTCCA